ATTCTCCAATTTCTGCCATTGCATTTATAACAGACTTGTGAAACGTTTTTTCTAACAATGCTTCAAAGGCACTAGAACGAACAGCCCAGCGAGTAGGGCACAATGGATTTAGGCTCTTAATAGGACCTCTGTCATTATTATCAAACGACATCTGCTGCCTGATTTTATCAAAGACATTAAATTTCTTTGGTAAATTCTTTATCATATTAGCAATTTCAGATACAAGTGTAAGACTGTCCCTGACCAAAGTGCATTATCTGGTACAGTCTTGCAAACACAAGTTCAAACAATGTGCAAAGCAACAGACACAAGTTGCTGCATTGTTTTCTTCTTTCAATTGAACCGCTAGGCCACGTAAATGTCCTGTCATGTTTGCTGCCCCATTATAAGCTTAACCACGGCAGTTTTCTAGACTTAAGTAAAATCGGAATAAAATATTTTTAACAGTTTTTGTTAGAGAGTCGGCATCTAATTGCTCTAGTTCATATCTTTAGCGTACCATGATTTTTAAAACATTCTAAACTCTTTTTTGTTTCCAGTTTGTTTTCTTATTATTTTGATTATACATTCATCATCTGGTTGGCAGGCCTGGGTCATATTTAAATGGCAACATAGGGCATTATAGTATGATGTAAAGGCTACAGAATCTGACTGTGAGGCTTGTGCACCAGTTATAGTCAACGGCTCTTTATTTGTATTTACTCTTAACTGTCTGGTAGTAATATCTTGCTGACTTATTTCTATTTCTTGATTATTACAAATTTCTTCATTTTTCTGACTATGACTGGAGGATGCCTCCGTCTGTGGTGTATTAGCATCTTTTGACTCCTGACAGTAAGTAAAAAAAAGTTACATAGTGAATTTTAAGGCTAAATATCAGGTGTTGTTTTTGATTTTTTTAATGGATTTTTTAACTACAGTAGAGTTTATGTAACGGAAATAATTGTACCTACGTTAGGTTAACACTTAGTGCGGAAAGTTTCGGTTGGTAAAAATCCTCGAATCGCCTACGCTTCAAAGCCATTATTAATTGGCTTGATAAGGTAATATAAATACTGTAATTTAATAATTTACATTTGAAATAATAAATTTTTCATTTAGTCAAGCTGAAACAATATAGTTACAAAATAACAAACTTTAAAATTGTATGAACTTTAAGAAGCTAGATAAAACGTTATCAATAAACTACAACTTTATTTTATTATTATTATTATTTTTTAACTTAACGTTCTATTATATTTTAAAATTGTATTACATTCTATCGTATTTTGAACGTTCTATTGCATTGATTTAAATAAAATCAAGATTAATAAACTTTAAGCAAAGTTTTTATAAGCATGATTTTACTTGGTATGCGTATAAAAAATTTATATTTTTAATGTGCTTTTATATGCTTATAAATTTATAAAAAATAGTTTATAAGCATGATTTTACTTGGTATGCTTATAAAAAATGATTCTATATAAACAAAAGTTAATCGTTGTTCTCAATTATAATTATATCTTAAACAATGTTAGTTTCTAAATGAAATAACAATAAGTGTAAACAACAACAATATAAAACAATATAAAAACAATATAAAAACAAGAAATGACTAATGTCACTATTTCTAGGGCCGCAGAGAGGGGGGGGGCAAAGGGGAAGTACGTGCCCCGGGCACCAAGATAATAAGGGCGCCAAAAAAATAATGCAAAAATTTTTTTCATGTGTCTGTACAATGTTTAGCTTTTAATTTCAATATTTTATGATTTAATATGATGTTATAGTATAATTTCATTAGATAAATTTGAAGTTTAATTAATTTACAATGGCGGCTTTCATGTTTACAGATTATTATGTTTAGTGCAGTGAGTTTTCTTTTAGAGAAAACTATTTTTGTATATATGTATTATATGAAAGTGACAACGTATTACATTTTCGCATATAATCTTACGAATATATTAAAGTGCATATTTCAATGTCACTTCATGCAATTGCATCTCAAATGACAAATCTGCTTATTTAAAGGTGAAAACCCAGTAAACACGGACGTAAAAAAGACGTCTTTTAAACTTCTTATACACGTTTTAGACGTCTTTTGAACGTCTTTTGAACGTTTTGGACGTCTTTTGAACGTTCAAAAGACGTCTTGTTTTGGTCCGGTGCCCACTGGGAAACGAAAAGAAAAAAGAAAAAAAAAAAAAAAGATTAAATTAACAAGTTATTTTAAAGATATAAAAATTAAAAAAAGTAAAAGTAAAGCAAGGTTAAAATAAATATATATATATAAATGCTATATATATATATATATATATATATATATATATATATATATATATATATATATATATATATATATATATATATATATATATATATATATATATATATATATATATATATATATATATGTAAATGCTAAAGTTCTTCAAGTAGTAGATTAAGCAAGCCGTTTGTTCCAGGCAGCTTCACTAACAATAGATGACGAAGTTATTCTGGTTAGTGATGTTTGAGAATAGTAAATACTGTGAAAGTAATAAAAAAAAATCAAAACAAACAAGGCCGCTGCTTGAAAATTTAATTTGATGACAGCTTTCTAATAAACTATCATGTCTCAGGTCCTCTGAAAAATTGTTTCGTTGCTTCTTTATTCATTAAATAAATGCTTTTTGTAATTAGAAGCGTGGTTCTATTATTATTTTTTTAAACTGCTGCACATATGCCCTAAAACCTAGTTTCAGAATTTTGTTAGTAAACGAGTGTTCGTGTTTTTTTTCTTTATTTTCACTCACCCTCTTAAAGAACAACTCATTTAGTAGTTTTGAAAATAATACCATAAACGCATAAATTAGTAATGGACATTCTATATTTATAAGTCATTTAGCATTTTTTTTGAGACTGGCAATTTTTTCGATAGATTTTTTTTCATTTTTTGCCAAAAAAAGTTCGTTTTTGTTGGTAGTATTAGTTGCTTAATTTTGGTTTTTTACATTTTGTTACCAAAAGTTTCTTTTAGTTACTTTTCAAACATAGCAGTTTGAGTAAATAAAAGCACATAAAAGCAGACAAAAGAAAGAAGATATTTAATTTAAAAATGTTACTTAGCATCTTTAATAGCTTATGGTCTTCTTTTTTCAAGTTTGAAGTTATTATCGCAAAAGTACGCCAACGAAATAACGAAGAACTGGCCGGGTATAGATTTATTATGTGGCGGAACTACCATTACGCAAAATCCCCGGGGTGGGGGTGGGGCAGAGCTATTGGGGACCGAAATTTTTTGAAGGAGCTGCAGTTTAAAAAAATATTATCAATTTTAAAAATTTTAATCCTGTATTAAAGTAAGGTCTGACCAAAAAAGTTAACAAAAAAAAGTCACTCCAATATTTTAAAAAGTGAAGCCAGATATTCTGTACTATTGCATGTTATTATTTTATAAACGTTTTAAAAGCAAAAACATGGACAAGACATTGAGCAAAACCAGTGGTGCAGCGATATAAAGGAAGCTGCAAGAGAAAAAGAATGTATTGTTGAAATTCCCAAATTAACAAATTTTCTTAATCCAATTGGAAAGAAATCGGATGATCAAAGTAAGTCAAAAGGTGAAAATGAATCACAAGAGTTAGAAAACAATGAAAGCAACTACATCAAAGATAATATTCAAGATAACTTTAAAGAGCATAAAATATTACATCATTGTAGTGAGGAATTAAGTGAAAATACAATAAACTTAGACGAAGAAGATATAAATAATAAGTCTGAGAAAGATAGATTATTTTCCACTGACATTGCAGATTTTCAGGACAAAATAGTAACAGATGACGTGAACAATAATATTATTTTATCACGTTACTGTCGATCACGAGAGCCTTTTAAACAAAATCCATCACAAAACAATCGTAAGTTTTTTATAAAACGTTAACAAAATATGGTATGGCTGAGAGGTTGTGGCTATGTCATTCTCCTAAACTATTAGATGCGGTGTATTGCGAACCTTATTGGTTATTTTCAAAACTCTATGATAACTGGCAAACACGGCAAATTAGAGAGTGGCAAGGTTTTTCAAAAAAATTAAAAGGACACGAAAAAAGTCAGCATCATATGCAATCATATTGTTTATATGATAAGTGGAAGCAAAATAAAACAATTAATAAAAGCTTAGAAGCGAAAATTCGATATGATCCAAAGTTTTAGGTGCAAGTGTTAGAGCGACTTGTTAATATAACATTAGTACTTTCTAAAAGTTGTATAGTTTTCCGTGGTCATTGCGAAACATTTGACGATGAAGATTATGGTAATTTTTTAACTCAAGTACATCTTTTATCAAAATATGAAACTGTTATGAAATTTTATCAAAATATGAAACTGTTAACGAACAAAATTGATGCAAAAAATATGTGCTGCTTGCAAAAAACTCGTGGGGGGATATTTTAAAAAAGATGTTTTTGTTGCTTTAACTTTTTATATATTGCAGTTTTTTATTGATATTTTTTGTTATTATGTTTGATAACGTTTATATATACAATTTTATGTTTTAGTATGCCATCCAATATGCAAGATTTGTTTAAAAAAGATTTTTCTTGCAAATAAATTAAATTTGTTCAATATCTTCTCTAGTTTTTTGTTTAAATATGCTTTAAACAACAAAATTTTACTGCGCCTATTTTTTAGGAAAGCACTGTATTATAGAAGAGAACCTTATCTTTAATATTAGAAATAAAAAATTAACTCTATAGTTAGAATTTAATGGTAACTTATCTCAAACTGTTATTAAAATTATTAGTCAAGGTTATTATTATTTTTCTGTGTCAAAAGGTTAGTTGATTTTGAAGATTTGTAATTTTCTTCTACATCGTGTATTTTTGTGCTCGCTCAGAATACCAGATTACTTTAAAAACAATATCACGTAGTAATCATAACCATGCAGCAACAAATAAAAAAATAAAAAAATGCATGAATTGAAATGATACCAAAAATAAATTGAAATAAAAGTCCGATAAATTTTGATATTATTTATTATTTGAACAGAGAAATTTTTATATATAAAATAATTATTTATATAATGTAATAATTTATATACAAAAGAATATGAAAAATTACATAAACAGATGATAACATGTTTTAATAGTATAATTTACAAGATTTATTAGAAAATTATTTTGCGAATGACAGCAAAGTTGTTGTTTCATTAGCTTGTAGCAACTTTTGAAAACATATTAGCATGTAGCAACTTTTGAAAACATATTAACTTGTAGCAACTTTTGAATTAGTCTAAATGAAATTCATTATCGTAGTTATAGTCAAATCAAAAAAATATACAAAATTTTGGAAATTTCGTATATTTTTAAATATAAGAAATATATTAACCAAAACTTACTATTGTATATTTTCAAATCTTTAATGTAGCCATTTTGAACATTGTTCCATGGATCACCAAAATAAACTCTAACAAATTCAAAAGTTTCTGCCTCTTTTTCAACATTGAAAACACGTTTATCATTAAGATAGATGTTAAAATTAGTCCTATGCTTAGATAAAGCTTTGGTTCGTGTTAATTTAATAGACGACCATTTATTTAAAGGGAGAGAATCTTTTGTTGTGAACTCCGATAGTTTTTTGTCGTTATTAAAAAAGCCTGCTACAATAACTAGTCTTCCAGATCCATCCTCATGAAACCAAGCTGAAATTTTTTTATTGGCTATTTGAGTTAAAAACCTATCCTGCATAAAATGGAAAACACTATGCTTTCCTATCGAATAAGAAATCGGTTTTATCTGAAATGAAACTGTGAATGTTGTACTTAAGAAGCTCATTGTTGCAACCAAATTATTTTCTTGTAACTTTTGTTCACTGGCATTTTCAAATTCGTCTAAAAATGATAAAAATAGTAATACAAAAAATAAAAACAGTTGTAGACCAACTCCTCTATCACATCCCTCTTCCCCCGCAAAAAAACTCTACATCAGTTTTTTAGAATGTTCTATTTATTTTTAACAAGATATTAAGGGAGAATGGGTAAAAGTAACTACTTTTTTTTTAAAAAAAGTGGCTACTTAAAAAAATTATATCAAGGAAACTAAAAGTAACAAAAAATGTACTAAAAGAAGCTCAAGATGACTTGGTATAGTAGAATTCTAACAGTTATAAATTACCAAAAAACCTCCAGATTTTTATTGATAATTAACCAGATTTTATTGACAATTAACCGTAAATACCTATTTGCTTACTTTTACGGGTAGGAATGACCCGAACAAAATTTTATCATTAAACCATTAGCTTTATTTACCTGAAATTTGAAGTTTAACATTTTTTAAACTAAAAGTAGACAACAAAAAATTTAGCTCGCTAAGCGTAACTATGCAACGCTGATAAAGATTACCACTATTTTAAAACTTATCTATTGGTAAATAAATGAAATTGTTATGAAGTTATTATAAATGAAGTTGAGCAACTGGATTAAAATACTCAATGAAAATTAAGTACGAGGTTTATCACAAAAAAAACAAAAGATTTTTGTCCACTGTTCTAGATTTTTGTTTATTAGTTACTTTTCAACCAACATCTTAAAATACTCAGCTTGTTCTTTAAAAAACTTTCAAGTACAAACATTTTCTTTTAGACAAAATTCTTAATCAGCTTGACTTAGTTTTACTTGAAATTATTTATTCAAATTTGGGTTTTTTTTTTTTTGGTTTCATTCTAGCTATGGGATCAAAGATTCACTCATACCCGTGGCTTACTCCTACCCATGTTATATATTTGTATACTTTTATATTATAAGTATATATACTATAAGCCTACTTATATACTTGTATATTTATTTACTTAATCTATGTGCATATTAAAAAAAAACAACTCCTTTAAAACGTTGTTAAAAAATTACCTTGAGGTTGAGTTGCATCTGAGGTATTTTTTGAATCTAAAACAAAAAAAAAAATTAACATTAAAAAATCATTTGATGTTAAAACATCAAATGTTATACTTGAAACAACTTAGTTTAAACTATTTATTAAAGAAAATATTGCTTCATTTAAAGCGTTTTATTCATTCAACAAATTGTAAAAAGTAGGAAAAAAAATTATTAAGGAGTTAATGAGTTTGCACGATTAAGAGGTTTAGGAGTTTGAATAAGAAAATTTAAGTAACTATTATACACAAGTCGACAAATTGACAAATGTCACCTTGTCGAATTGTGTATAATAATTACTTCAATTTTTTTAAGTAATTATTATTATACACAATTCGAGTTGTGTATAACTTTAATTTCAAAGCTACTTTACTAATTTTTCTTTTTTGTACGATTTTGTACGATGCTGTTTTTGATGTTTTATAAGTTATTATAAGTTTACGTACTACAAGAAATGTTGCTAAAACACATTTCAAAGTTGTGCATAATATAAGTTTAATTTCAAAGTTTTATCGCAACAAAAATTAAAAGTTTCCAATAAAGTGCTCACAACACCTTAAAAAGAAAAGTTAATGAGTGTAATAGGAAAATTAAGGAACCAAAGGAAATGCAACACCATGAGAGTACGTTTTGTGATGACTGTCTTACCGAGATGATATTGATTAATATATGATGTTATCTTGAAAACCAATGTTCCAGTTCTTATATTACAATAAATTACCATAAAAAAGCTCTTACAAAGAGGTTCTTTTTATTGTCTCTATCCAGGTCATATTTTAAAAATCCTGAAAATCAGTAAGGTAAAATATCCGGAAAAATTCTGGAATATTTTTTTCCTAATATTCCTCTTAATTTTGATTTTAGCTAAGTTGTTTTTAGTTTTTTTTAACTCTTCCTAATTTTTGAATGAGTAATGAGTAAAAAAGCTTAAAAGACAAATATATTACAAAAATCCTAATCCTAAACTTGTATGTATAGAAAACATTTTTGATATCCGGAAAAACTAAAAGTTGAGAAAAATATCCGGAAAAACTAAAAGTTGAGAAAAATATCCGGAAAAAGATAATCCCTGCTCTTTATTAGTTTTTCAAGTTATTTATTTTAATTTCTTTTAGGCCTGGTGAACGGAAAAAAATATTTCTGCTGAATTAAGAGGCAGAGCTTGTCCATTATGTTTAGAAGATGGAAAGTTTTTGTTAGGCTTAGCTCTTTTGAATCAATTTGACTAGCCTTTGAATTAGCTAGGGTAAATAAAATAGCTCCCAAGTTCATGTATGTATTATTGTACACATACACGAACAAAGAGTTTGTATTGAGGCATCCAAACATTTGTCTCTGAGATAGTTTGAGGCTACATCTGAAACCCAAGTAATGGTATTCAACAATGTAATCGACAACACATTTTTAAGCTTCTTGAAAATGTTATTGACCAACAATAAATTGACATTCAATTCATAACTGCTATGAGAATGGAATTTCTACTGTTTGTTAACCATTGTCATATTAAATGGAAAAAGACAAGTATGCTCTGCAAAAAGGTAAAAGACGAGTTTTCTTATTTCTCTTTAACCTCTGAAAAAAAAGGATCAACTTGTTATAGCTGTAATTTGCTGTTCTGCAAGTGGTAAATACATACAACCAATGTTATTCTTTTAATGTCAGTACATGAAAGATAAGTTAATAAATGGGTACCCCCTGATGCTCAGTCAGAGCACCATCCAAATTATTGGATTGAGACAGAAGTATTTAAATCAGAAGAATATAATTACAGAAAATTGTATTATACACAAAACCCACTAAGACCAGTTCTTCATATATTTAACAAACTTGCAAAACACTAGGTAATGCATAAGACAAAGACACCAATTCTTTATATAACAGATGTTCACTTAAAAATGAAACTCAATTTTCTTTAAAAATGAAACTTAATTTTCTTTAAAAATGAAACTCAATTTTATATAACAGATGTTCACTTAAAAATTAAACATTTAAAAAAAGTATAAGTATGCTTTTTTTTTGAAAAAAATGATTTGATTAGAGAATGAAAAAAAGTTAAGATTATTTTGCTGAACTAATGTAGCCTTAATATTGTTAATCTATTTTTTTCTGGTAATCCTCTAAGACGAACAGCATTCAATCTTCTTTAAGTTCAGCTAACTTGCAAACTGCTGTTTAATGCTGTTTACTACCTCTCGAGTAATTTTTTTAAACAATACCTGATTCTTCCAATTACTTTTTTAATATTTTTAACTTCCCTCTTTCTCTTGTAGACTAAACCTTTCAAATAACCACAAAAGTCTTCAATTGACCTTATATCAGGACAGTTGGCAAGGTTATCTTTCTTAAAAACATATTTTAATACTTCCACTGTCCAGCAAAGAAATGAAATTTTTTAGCATAATGAGCCAAAGTAAAGTCAGGCCTAAAAATGTAATTATCACCAATATATTGTTCATGTATGTAATGACTGTTACACAAACAATTCCTTCTAAACAATTGTTCAGAATAAGAATTTGCAAATGAAAATTTAACAATTTTATATATACTTTTTATGATGTAGAAATGTCAAATAAAAATTAATGCAATTCTCTTAAAAATAAGATACAAAACATTATAAAGTATAAATGGAATCAAAATATTTTCATTGCAATTTTTTTTGTACATATTTTTATTTACCAGAATGCCAGATTGCTTGATAACAGGTCTAATTGTACCTTTGGGACAAATTGCAAGCCATTTTAATACTTTGCTTTCTAACATATTTTTCTTTTGTATTTGAGATCTGGAGAAGCATTTTTGGGGTCACTGGAATAATTTATTATTATTATGGAGCCATTATTCAACTCTAGAGTTTGAAAAGTAAAATATGATTCCTCATTGAAAATAATTTTTTTTTTTAATTTAAAATTTTTTGCACTCAGCCCATTTTCATATCAACATTTCTCCACTTGAAAACTATTATAAATAAACAGTTTTTCACGTGTTATATTTGTAGAACTTGTACACATGTTTTCCTACATTTTTTAAGCTTACTTTTACAATTAAAGAAGAATTATTTTTGATTAATGCATAAGTATTTTTCATAAATGTCAATACTTTTGACATTTATGAAACCACCTAGTACATTTTATGAATATAATTTAAGAATATGGTTAGAAAAAATTTCAGTTTGCTTTTCTGCTTGGTACATCATATCTAGATGCTGCTACAAAATAATAATACTATAATAATGGGTTTATATAAAAAAGGCATTTAGCCAGAAGATAAATGATTTTAGCTGAATTTATGGCAGCTGAAGTTACTGATATGAGCATTGCCTCTAAGAATACAGTCGGCAGTTTTATAGCTACAATCTTAGCTTCTGCCAGCTCTACTGCTCCAATCACCATTGAATCTTTGTTTAGCATATCAGCTATTTAAACTTTTTTTTATTTAGTCATTTAATGCCATTAAATACCTGTTTCAATATAGGCTCAAAAAACGTATTTCTGAACATAGAGAAAAAAACGTCATTTTAACTTTCTCACAATTTAAATACTCTATTTAGGGACCCAAAGAAAAACAAATGAAAAGCAAAACAAATCTGCTAAACAATCAAATTAAGACGAATTGGACACAAATGAAGCCTCTATTGTGAGGAGCTTAGCTCTAGCAACACGGAGAGTTGGTTATTATTACTTTTAGTTTGATCTATGTACTAGCAGTAAAAAATCTTTTTTTGTATTTGTTTGACCCCATTTGTCCCCTTCTATTTTCCTGGTTTGCCCCAAATAAGGATATTATACTATATATTCTATTCTATTGTTTCTACAAAAATCCTAATCATTTTAACGGTTTTTGTTATTTTATTAGGGTCTTATTCGTAAGTATCCTTGAACACCCCTGTGTCCCCTTTACTAAAATTAACAACGATTATTCAAATTACTAAACATTCAAAATAATTATACTAAACCTCCATTCACAACAAATAATTCTTTTATATCACCATCATGTGCGGTATACCATGGATCTGAAATATATACTTTCATATCTTTAAATTGCCTCGGATCTTTGTTTTCAACTTCATATTGAATGGAACCATTAACAAAAATAGCATAAACATAAGCACCATTCTTCAAAGTTTGTTCTATTTTAATACTTGACCATACATTGAGTGGAAGTGGATTTGTTGTTTCAAACTCTGAATTGATGTTGCCATTAATAGCTGAAAAAAATACAAGTCTTCCAGAACCGTCTTTATGAAAAAAAACTGCTGGATTTCTGTCGCCGCATTCACCGTAATTCTGACCCTTGGTTATGTGGAGAATATTTTCCCATCCTTTAGAGTAGGACAAAGGTTTCAGTTTAAAATATACAGAATATACTTTTTCAAAAGTGCTCATTGTTCCGATAACTTCATTTTCACAAAGCTCTTTCACTGAAAGTTGAACAACTTTATCTAAAAGAGTTTTTTTTAAAGAATTATTATTTCAATTTATAATTATTAATGGTAATCAATAAAATTGTATTTTATTTGTGTTAATGTTAAATTTTAGTAAAATCATAGTGAATATATTTATCTTCATACCAGTTGGATTAATGACAAGATCAATCATGCTTGGTTGATCTGAAGTTAAAATAGAGAAGTTTTAGGATCATTCATTTAATTTTGTAAGTGAAATTGAAAACATTTACCATTCACTATAAAACTAATTCTTTTAAAGGAAATTATATTTATATTAATAAATTAGTTATATTGTTAATAATTAGTTTATATTATTAATAGTTAGTTTATATTATTAAGAATTAGTTTATTTTATTGAATTTAATAATTTGAAAAGAATAACAATATTAATTTTTCTGAGTCATCTGCTCATTAATTATGCGCATAAATTATTAAATTCTGGCCATCAAAATTAACCTTTTTTTTAACAAGAATATATTGAGAAACATACATGTTTTATGAATCAAACAGTACAACTAGTTTAACATATGTTCAAAAGTGTGCTGACCCAAAGACAAATAAACTAAATGCTATAAATTTTATCAACATTGAAATCATTAAATGTTTAATTAATTTAATTACAAACATAAGCTACCTTATAAATACTTACAAACATTAGAGTTACAAACCTTACAAGTTCTCATAAACATCAGAGTTGAAAACTCCACAAATTCTTACAAACATTAAAGCTACAAACTTTACCAATTCTTTTAAACAATAAAACAACAAAATTTACAAATTCTTATAAATAAATGACATTTTAAAGTGTTTGGAATAAACCAGCATTTATTTAGCTTGTTTTTCCTTAAATAAAACAATAAAATACAAAACAATAACAATATACATAACAATATACAAAAATATTACCTATTAAAATTTATAAATTTATGAAACCATTTTGGATTACTATGATAAAAAAATTGTATATATATATATAAACTTTATCTTAGAAAATTAAACCTTTCTTTCCATTGATTATAAACATGTCCCCTATATATGTGTCTTGTACCAAGTCCCAAGGGTTTGAAGCATATACCTGAACATTATTGAACCATTCTGGGTTTGGATTCTGTTCAGAGTAAACAGTTTCTGCATTGATTTTAATAGTATATATGTATTTGTTTTTTTCTTTTTGTTGAAGAATATCTATTGTACAATATGCATTTGTTGGTTGAGGATCAGAAGTAAAATATTTTGTTGTTGTTGGTACAGTAATATTTAATCTGCCATCGCCAGCATCTGAAAACCATACACCTAAAACCTCTCTGCCACGACTTTTTTGACTAGAATCAACAACTAAATGAATTGCATTGTGCAACTTTTTAGAGTAATTGTTTGGATGAAGTTTTAAAAAAACACGAAACTCTTTATCTAGTTTTTTTATGCTTGCCACCATTTTTCCACCAACTACATAAGTTAGAGATTTGATGATTCTTGCTAAAAAAAAAATCAAATATTACAAATAACAAACCAAGACCTTTTTTTTTAAAAAAAAAAATATAAGCTAAATAATAAAATATAGGAACTTATCTATGAAGAAAGTTAATCTAATTTTGCAAAATATTGAACTGTTTAGAAGTTGGCTATTTTTATTTCAAGTAAATCTCTAATTCAATTGACTCATCAAGTCAGTGCAATTACAGGTCAAAATCAAAAAATTAAAATGGGATTTTATTTTAATGTCTTATTTAACTCTTAGCTCATTTATTTCCTAATAAAGTTGTTTTAATTTAGAACAAAGACCTCTGTTATACAAACTGAAGAAATTAAAGCAAATTTAAAGCAAGACAAGACAAATGATTTATAGATAAACAAGATCTTGAAAATCAGGTATTGGGCTGATACAGCTGAACCTTGTTAAAACATAACTAACTATATTTGTAATAGTTTTAAGTTTAAAAAAAAACGCATAAAAATTGAAATAGAAGTATTTGTAAACCAAATGCATACACTTTAAATCATATAATTTAAATACCTTGAGCCCTCATTTTATCATTCGGAGTCGGTGGAAGTTCTAAATAAAGTAATGAAAATTGAATAACTTTATAAATAATATAATTTCATAACTATTTTTCAAACTGATAAATTATTGTTAATCAAATTATTTAGTTGTAAAAATATTTAGTTGTAAAAATATATGTAAAAATATTTTGAATTATTGTTATTGTAAAATTATTGTTAAATTATGGGTTGATTAGATACAATTATACAACTTCATAGTAAGAACAAGAATGAATTTTAGCTTAGAGTTCCCATTACTAACTATATTAACAATAAAAGATATTAAAAGTAAAAACCATCGATACCACCAAATTGTTTAAATCTTTTCTGAAATTTATTTGGTCTTAAATGTTATTTTTCTTCTTTTACCTTTGCTCCTTGATTTTTGTCTTGTATCAAACTCTACTATGTGTTTAGTTATTCCTCATACTCCTTTAAGCGGTTCAGATCATACAATCACTAAAAATTCTTTCTTGTTCTTTTCTGCATCAGATTTAATTTATCATTATGGTTCTTACAAATACCTCAAGGCTGGTTAAAAACATTGTGGCCCAAATATAAATCTCCTAATTTAAGGATGCATTAAAGCTTTTATTCCTAATTATTTATTTCAAGCAAAACCTCAATCTAGTACAAATTTTCTCCTACATGTGCAGCTTTTATTTCTGAACATAATTATTTCAATAATCTTTTTCACTATTTCACTATTTCAACTTTTCTTAAAACATATAATTATATATATTATTAAATCATATCCATACCCATATTTATAGTTATTAAATACATACTTATCCAATATCCATGCTTATAGTTTTTTTTTTTTTTTAATATTTGCATTCACTCCCAACAAGGCTGGAAGCAACCACTATTAAGTTGGGAGTTACTAGGAAAAAAAAGAACAGAGTTATAGAGCAAGGAAACGGTTGACAGAAGACTTGAAAAGTTGAAGGTTGTATGAGTTAGGAAAACATAAAGATAGGAGAGAGTTCCAAAGAATTGAAGTGCGGGGAAAAAAACTAGATGAATAAAAGTTTTTAGAGCATACAGGGACAGATACAGTAATCGAATGAGACTTAGCTAAATAATGAGTAAAACGAGAATGAATTTTAGTTGATGGAACTAAAGATGATAACTCCTTTGAGCAGTGACCATGATAGTATTTGTAGAAAAGAGAAAGAGATGCAACTTTACGACGATGGGAAAGAGGCTCCGCCTTCATCTGTTGAATTAAGTTTAAGCTTAGCAGATAGTCCAGGTCAAACAACATTCACAATGCGTTTTTGGACCTTGTCAAGAAGAGAAAGTGAATCGTTAGAAGAACCAGCCCAAATATGACAACAGTATTCCATACAGGGACGAATAAGAGATTTGTAGAGGTAGAGAATGGAATCAGAAGTAAGGAAATGGCAAGCACGATAAAGAGAAGCAATCTAGCAGAAGCTAATTTAGCAATCGATTGTATATATGGTTTCCATGAAAGGTCAGTAGTAAGCGATAATCCAAGAAGACATAAAGAGGAGGACTCAGTAAGAGGATTGCCATTCATTAATATAGGAATGTTGACCATATTACGGTAGTTGTTTGCAGTAAACAACTGGGTTTTGTTAGAGTTAAATTCACAAGCCACTGTAAACCCCAATCTATTACTGAAGTGAGATCGGATTCAAGATCAGCTGCTTGTTCTAGGCGATCGAAAAGAGAAGACTTTTTGTCAAGACAGGAGTATAAAGTTGAGTCATCAGCAAAAAGAGCTACTTTAGATGAAAGGTTGCCAGGAAGATTGTTTCTGTAGATAAGAAACAAAACAGGGCCCAGGATGGAACCTTGGGGAACCCCAGAAGTTACTGGAAATAAAGAAGAGTGTTGGCCTTCAAGGATGACTTTAATAAACCGGATAGAAAGAAATGATTTGATAATCTCAAAAACTTTCCCAGAAACACCATATGAAGCAAGCTTATGGAGAAGACCAGCATGCCAAACTTTGTTGAAAGCTTTAGATATGTTGAGAGCAATAACCCTAGCCTCACCGCCTCCATCTAATGCATGATAAAATCTTTCAGTTACAGCAGTTAGCAAGTTGGCCATAGAGCGAGAGAATCGAAAACTGTAATGATTGTCTGACAGTAGTTTATTTGACTCAAGATGAGATGTGAGGAAATTGTTGATCAAAGACTCAAAGACCTTGCTAATAACAGAAAGAAGACTGATCAGACAATAATTGGAGGGGTCAGAATTTTCTCCAGAGTTTTTGAATATTGGAACCACAGATGCCATTTTCCAACAAGCAGGAAAACAAGACTCAGTCAAAAACTTGTTAAATAGTTTAGAGAGAATTGAAGAAAGTTCTGGAGAACAATTCTGCAAGACTGTGACAGAAATGTTGTCTGGACCACAAGCTGTAGACGAGTTTAATTGAGATATGACTTTAGCAACAGAAGCCGAGTGATTTGAATGTCTAACAATGGGTCAACCTGTTTAACTGGAATGGAAGGAAGAGAATGTCCATAAGATTCAAGAGTGGAATTAGAAGAAAAGTTCTTTGCAAATAGTTCTGCCTTATCCTTGGGAGAGGTAATAAGATCAGTCCCATGAATGAGAGATGGAATGTTAGATCTACCCTTGTTAATAATGCTGTTGAAGATTTTCCAAAAGTCTTTAAAGCCTAACTTCTGTGATAAGATGCAAGATTTAGTAAACTGAGAATAATAGAGTTTAGCATCAGAAAGCACCTTTTTACATTGATTTCTTGCAATAATAAATAGCCGTTTTTTTCAAGAGAGTTGTTCTTTTGGAAAAGATGAAAAAAATGATTACGATTGGATATAGCAGCCGCACAAGAAGGAGAAAAGCATGGAGTAGAATGAGGCTTGACTTGAAACCGATGAGAAGGAATAAAAGCTTCCATTCCAGCCTGAATCCAGGAGGTTACGTAGGAGGCGCATTTATCAGCTGAGAAAGAAAAAACATCAGCCCAAGGACCATCATGAAGAAAATCACGAAAAGAATCCCAGTCAGCTTTAGGGTAGTAGTAGGTGGTGCGATGATAAGGTGAGCCCAAAAAAGAAGTATGAGAAGAAAGATTTATAGAGATCATTGCATGGGTCAGAACCACCTAAGGGAGATAAGGGAGAAACTGAACATAAGCTAGGGTCAGAGACAAGACATAAGTCAAGGAGGTAAATGATTTTGATCACAAAGTTAACTATCTGAGTAAAAGATTGAAAAACGCAAAAAAAAGTTAAAGGCTTTAGTGCCAGCAGGATCAGTGGTGTTAGAGCCAAGCCATTCAGTGTGATGGGCATTAAAATCACCAACAACAACAATATTGGCAGAGGGGTAAAGAGAGAGGGCATGGTCAATTTTATCAGAGATAACATCTAAAAGAGTGCAATTATGGGAAAAAGGAGAACGATAAAGAACAAAGAAAAAGATGATAGAGTGAAGAGGTGCTAGGTGAAAGCACATAAAAGAAGGATTTGAACCTGATTTCATGACAATGGGAATTAATGCGCATGTATACCCCTAAACCTAGCCTGTGACTATTGGAGTCTTTACGAATCAAAGAATAGTACCCATCAACACTGATATCTGAAGAAGGAATTGAAGAATTTAAATTTGTTTCACTGAGTGCAAGCAAGTCTGGTGAATTTGTAGGAGGTAAGACTCAACTGATAGAAAGTTGCTTCGCAGACTGCGAATATTTGCAAAAGATATATTAAAATATTTAGGTGGTGGGGATGGTTTTTTAGGTTTAAAATTTTTGGTTACTTTGGAAATGATTTGGGTTTAATGAGAACTTGACTCATTCATAGATAGAGCACAGCCTCCTAACCAATGAGCTATGCAGTTGTCTCAGTCCTGTTAATTAACCCTAAGCCGTGACATAGGGCTCCTTATGTGGCCTTGACAATGCACACCAAAAGCATTAACAGAGACACCATCCATGCACAACATGGCACTGTTAATACTCTGATATTTTGCAGCTGTTAATGGAATCAGCCTCTTTGAGAGCTACCACAGAGTTTGGGAAACCTTACTACCAGCCGGTCTCAGAACCATTAAACTGAGTTTTAGAGCTGTACCCTCATATGGAGATAACAGGAAGAGTTGCATTGCCATTATCAAGGAGACATAAGCAAAATTCTATGAGTAGAGTCAAGGAGATCCAGCATTCATCATCCCAGGCAGGAAACAATGTAACACAGGTTACATCTACGCCAGCCTAATAGATGAAGAAGGGGTTCAAGTAGAACTTTTCTGCTTACCCCTAAAGTCTTTGCCTAGGAGGCTTTCTACAAGACAGTAGCTGGATGCAGTTAACATCTGCCCAAGATGAGTATTTTTATTAAGATATCATCTCTAGTCCTTACTCAACCAAGAGCCCCAAGGCAGGGGATGTTTAGCTGGATGCAGTTAACATCTGCCCAAGATGAGTGTTTTTATTGAGACACCATTTCTAGCCTTTACTCAACCAAGAGATCCAAGGCAGGGGAATTTTTAGTCGGAGTTTATTTCTCCTAGCCTTTTCCTAAGAAGAGCACACTCTGCAAGGCAGCAGGGCTTGTGGCAGGCGGTACTGGGTTACGTGATACCAGTAGCAAGATTGATCTTGATTATCCTGACCTGACCTGGAGTAGTTAAAAGGAGTTATTTCCCGCAACAGTACTATGAGAAAACCAGGCATGACATTTTGGAAGTGCATAAGGAAAATACTGTGAGAAATCAATGCAAAAATTTGTGAGAAATCAATTCAAAAAAAAAGTTGTGGAAAATCAATGCAAAAAGAAATTTTGAAATCTACTGCCTAATACTGTATTATATCTAGTTGGGATCTGGAATCTTTTGGAAATCCTTATTATTATTAACAAAGACTCAAAACTTCCATTCTTATATAAAGATTTAAAGTGAAAATTTTTCAAGTAAAAATATTTGTTAATGATACAACTATATAATCCAATCTTATTAAAAAGTTATCACTTTTTAATTATTTAGAAATGCCATTTTGAGTGTGATTTCTTTTCTGTGACATTTTTTGAAAACCATAAATTCAATCCATTGCAAATTTAGCATCTGCTAGGGCTGTCTTTTTTAATCATGCTAAAAATATTTTTATTCTTGATTACATTTTCAATCTCTATAAATCTCTCTTTAAATAACGTTAATATTATAAAATACTGTTGTAATATGATTCCATCTCTTCTATCACTGCCATTTCTCTAAATAAAAATACTGTTGTAATATGATTCCATCTCTTCTATCACTGCCATTTTTCTTTTATATGTGTACATAATTATCAATGAAAGACAGACTGTCTTTCATTGGTTTATCCAAAAAATTTAATTTTTTTAAAATTCAATTTAAGCGATTTGTTGTAGTTATTTAAAAAAAAAAAAAAAAAAGGAGGAAATCTCTCTAGGTTTCTTCTCTCATTTTTTAATAGCTTCATATCATGTAAGTATGGATATGATTTATTAATGCTTCTTAGTATTGAGATCAAGGAATTTTCCAAACATAAAGTCTGATTAATGGCAGTCTTAAACAATTATATCTTAGTAGATGACTGCATCTTTAAAGTTATCAAAACCAAAATAATTTTTTTTATTTAACTCTTAGGTAAAATGAGTCTGCAGGCATTAAAGACCAAGCTCAAAATTAAACCATTCTGATTTCCTCTATTTTAGCTACTGTTGAACTAATTATAAAAGATAAATAACATAAAAACCTAGGATTTGGTTTGGTTTGTTTGAAAATTATTAAGAAATAGTAAAGTTTTTCGTTATTCTAAAATTATGTAAAAAAACATGCAATATGTCAAGATGCTGTAAAATGTTTTTAAATGTATTCATTTAAGGAAATATATTTATTTTTTTAAATATGCTGACATAATAGAGAAATCTTCAACCCAAGTCATTTTGTTTGATTTACTTATTTAATAATCATTTTATTTACTTTTTGATTTACATATAGTTACAAGTTGATAATTATTCCAGTTTTCTAATAATTTATTCATTGTTGATATTAGGTTTTTTTGATTTATCCATGATTGAAAAAGTACTAAGAACTAATTTTTATGATGTAAGCAATTTTAGAAACAACTTTTCTTATATTTTTTAATTCAAATAGATATATTTTTTTCTTTACAATTTAGTAAAGTCCTGTTATTAAAAAAATATATAGATTTTTTAAAAACAAACCTTAATACATAAATTTACAATTCTTGAAAATTAACTTTGAAAAAAAAAATTCTTAAACAACTCACCAGCACAGGTATTTGTACCATTACAAGAAACAATGCATGTGGGTGCTAAATAGTAAGTAAAAATATCTTTAATATCTCTAAATTAATAATTTGTGATTTTCATAATTAATGGTATCATTATAATTATCACAATTAATTATCACATTAATTGTCATTATAACTTTTTTAATTACAAAAACTATTGATGTTGTTGTGATAGTTGTGGTGATTATTACAACAAACCTGTTATTTTGAAAGTCATACTTTTTCAATATTATTTTTTTATGCTATTTTTTTATTAAAACATTTTATAATAATAAATGAAACATAAGATTTATATATTTTTATAAATTTATCAAATTAAATTTTGTGTTTATCTACTCTTATGTGTTACACGTATTCTATAGCACTTTTAAAAGAAATAAATATCAACAAAAGTGTAATAAATATGAGCAATAGCTAAGTTTTGTTTGAGTTGAAGTTTTATCCATTGCAAGTAACAAGCTGATTCAGAATATAATTAAATTAAAGACCAGCTGTCAGTACTGACCAAACCTTTCCAGATATACTATAAAAGAGAAGCTTATGAAAAACAACAATATGCCAAAATTCATCAAAATGTCAAGAGCAACTGCTGTTGCCTCATTACCACCATTTAGTGTATGATAAAAAATTTTCTTATTACATTTAACAAACCAGCAGAATATTATGAGAATTAAAATTTCCACCATCATTCATATTGTAATAAGGTTTTTGAATTTTGAAAAAATGAGGTAGTTAAAGCTTGTAAGCAAAAGATCCAAATATCTTGCTGGAGGAAAAAAAAAAAAAAAGAAGAAAAAAACAGTTCTTGATAAATTAAAAAGTCTGATAGTTAATAAATAAGTTCTTTAATAACAATTTTCTATTTTTATAATGATTTTTGCAACCAAAACGCTTTTGTTCAATAATAAACTATTAAATACTCAATGAAAAAACTTTAAAAATATTTTGATTTAAAAGGAACTATATTTTGGTTAAAAATCAAAGTTTACTTACTAAATATTGTTAGTTAAAGTTTTTAAATTTTTAACTAAGACTTTTTTTTGAGACATTGTTTTCAATTTAAGTTTTGAGACATTGTTTTAAAGTAAATTTTTATTTAAATGTCCTTCAAAAAAGTATTATACTTTACATTTACATACCGATACATCCATACAATGTATTAACCTCTTGCTTGTCTGTATCACTCAGTCTACCTGTTTTACCAATTAGTTCTTCAATATCTATTGTTAAATTCATAAACTCTGGTTTTAATCTCATGGTTTTTGTATTAGCAGTGCGCTTTGGTTTTTTTGATAAAGCCCATAGATCATAGTGCATTATAGAGAAAATATCATAGGGCTAAATAAATATGGGAAAAATTAAACTAAATGCAATAAGCACCAAAAAAAATAGAAGGTAAATAAGAACAAGCAAAAAATGTTTAAAAAACATAACAAAGACAAAAAACTGCATTTGGTCAAGACTAATATCTACATAACACTTGCAACATAAAAGAATCTCTTATAAAAATATAAACAAAAATCACACTTTTAAATACAGAGAAAAAACAATATTACTGAGTGACAAAAAATGCAACAAAAAAACTCAGATAAAAATTTATGGAAACCAAGATTTTGAAACAAAAAAAGTTGTCATTGGTAATATATATATATATATATATATATATATATATATATATATATATATATATATATATATATATATATATATATATATACACACATATATATATATATATATATATATATATATATATATATATATATATATATATATATATATATATATATATATATATATATATATATATATATATATATATATATATACACAATTTTTTGTTTTAGTAGATTTGTTAGGTATACACTTAAAAACATTTAACAAAATAGGAAATTAGATATTAGTTTGAATAATGAATAAAAACTAATGAATCAAATCAAATCTACTAACAAATCTACTAAAACAAAAATTTGTTTTGAAACTTTTAAAACATTGTCAGACCTTGCACATGATCATTGAACATCAGACAAGTCTGTTATTTTATCAAGAAAAAAAAAGTCTTCAAAAGTGTATATTTTTTGTCTCAAAAGAAGAGAAATTATATAAAAAGTTCAAAAATCATTTTATAAAAAACAGTAAAAAAAAAATTTTAACAAGATTTTTTTTTAAAAACGTATGTTTTTATTTTTAGTCAGAAAATTTAAAAAACTGATAATTTTGACCGTAAAATTTGAATTTATATTTTAAAAAATGATAATTATTTGTGGAATTTTTATGCAATTTTGACACATGACATAATATTCTTTTGAAGAACTTTTATTTTGATAATATTAGGGAATCGTCTGATGTTCAAGAATATTGTGCAACCTCTAAAAATGCTTAAAATCACCTGCAATTTTTACCAAATTTTTGTTTTAGTAGATGGATAACAATTGTTCTAATGTCCACTACTTGAAAAAAGATTATAATAATAGTATTATAGGAAAAAAAGCATAAAACTCTGAATAATGTATTAGTAAACTTTGTAAATAAAGTTATTAATTAGAAGCAAACTGGTGTCATTAGAAAAGTGGTAAGCTGTTGAAAACTTTGAGAGATTTTGTTTTAAACACTTTTACATCCATTAAGGCTACAAGCAATCACTATTCTAGTTGGAAGTTACTGGAAGAGAGAGATAAAGCTTGTAAAGCAAGACAATAATTCAAAGACAACTAAAAGATTGCAGATTATATGAATCAGAAAAACAAGATAAACAGAGCGAATTCCAGAGAACTGATTTTTGCGGAAAAAAACTTTATGAATGAGAATTCGTTGTAGCATTTGGGAACAGTCATAGTAAAAGGATGAGACTTAATTGAATGACGAGTATGAATTTAGATGGCACAAAAGACGCTAGCTTGTTAAAGCAACCCCTATTAAAGTACTTATAGAAAAGAGAAAGAGAAACAACAATATGATAATGGTTGAAGGTTAGTTGAGAGAGCAGGTCTAACTATGTTTACATATTTTTTGCACTTTACCTAAAATAGAAAGGGTGTTATTTAAAAATCTGCTCCAGATATGGAAACAATATTCAATACAAGGACAGATTAGAGTATTATAGAGATAAAGAATAGAAACCAGAGTAAAAAAGTGGCAAGCATAATAAAGAGATGCAGCCTTAGCTATGCTAGTTTTGCAATTGATTTAAAATATAATTTCCAAGAAAGATCAAAAGTAAGAGTTAATCCTAGAATAGATATATAGGTAGATGACTCATCAAGTACATTACCAATCATACATAAAGGAAAATATGAATTATTGTGATAACAATTGGCTGAAAAAAATTGGATTTTATCTGAACTAAAATACAACAGCAACTGAGAACCCTATGCAGTAGCAAAAGTATAATCATTTCAAGCTCAAACGCCACCTCCTCTATATAAACGCCTCCTCCTCCAAGCAATCAGAGAGTGTTGTTTTCTTACCAAATCAAGAATAAATGGTAGTATCATCAGCGAACAATACCACCTTAGATGTGAGAATTTCTGAGAGTTTTAAAAATATTAAATGTAAGTAAAAGAGTTTGTAACAAAAATCAAAAATAAATAAATAAAGTCTATTGATAGTTGTTTTACTATATAAAAATAAAATTGGCTTAACTGGTAAAAAATAATATAGAGTATGGGCAAGATTAAGGTGTGCCTGAGCTAAGTTCAGAAAGTTATCTTAAATTATAACAGGTATATTTTACCATTTCTTCACAGAGTTACAAATGATTGGAATTCTCTTCTTCAAAAGGTAATAGATAAAGGTAATATAAACCTTTTTGAAAAAAGTATTGATAAATATAAATAAATATTTTGATTTCTGAAAACTGTTTATAGCTATCGGCTGTCATAGTCTTAATTCTACACAATTGAGACTCAACACACCTCAAGTGTGTGCAGCATTTTTATATTTTATTCTAGATGTACACTGTTAAAGATTTAAGTAAAGTTGCAAAATATCATGTTGTATTTAAACAATGAAGTCAACATATGTTTAGCAATTTATAGCAATAATCATTTCAATGTTGTACAACTTTAAGAAATAAAAAATATTGAAATAATCTTAAAAAAAATAAAAAAATCAGTTTGCCTAGTAAGATGTTTATGTAAGATTAAATTGATTTGAACATAGCATAGACATAGACATAGACATAATATAGCATAGACAACAGCATAAAGATCTAGCCATTAAGTGTTGAAAGTTTCACAGGAGAAAGATAGAGTTAGTGGTACAAAAATCTACAAGTAATGCTTTACAAATGACAAAAAAGCTCATATATTGTAAAACAGTTATAAAAAGATGCTCAGAATTATGCATACTGAAGAAATAAAATTATGAAGCATTTAACTTAAGCAAGCGTGAAAACAAGCTAAAACAATGATCAAGATAGATCTGTTTTTAGTTTTTGCATTGTGTAAAACTTTTGACTTATGTAAAAAAAATGAATAAGTCTGCAGAAAGTAATTCTTTCTTACAGAATAAATCTAATAATATATTAACTGTAATATTTCATATCTTTTTTTATTTTGATCATTATATTGTATATAATATTTTTTATTATAATTTTTATCTTTTATGTAATTACATTTTTCAGGTAGATTAAAATAAAAAAAATATTAATTATACTATATAAATAATAAATAAAAATAACAGTTATTATATAAATATACAAATAATTATATAGTAATTAAAAAATATAAACTTACGGTAGAATAATGTGTTTGTTGGATAGAATAGTAACATTCAAACTGTGCCATTGCATTTATTGCACCTAAATATTTGAGCCAAAATCCAAATCCAAATATTAAATATAATCTTGCAAACTTATGCATAGGATTTAAAAAATAAAAATTGTAGGGTCTATTTTGATTCTTTACTTTTCACAGTTTGCAATTTTATTTCTTTGGTCAGTAACTTTTTAATTCATAGTTAAATATAAATGTATATATATATATATATATATATATATATATATATATATATATATATATATATATATATATATATATATATATATATATATATATATATATATATACATATATACATATATATATCTTAATACTCATTTTATTTATATATTATATATAAATCATATAAAAGATATATATATATATATATCATATATAAGATATACATATATATATCATATTTATTTTATATATAAGATGTAAGATATATATATATATATATATATATATATATTTAACTATGAATTAAAAAGTTACTGACCAAAGAAATAAAATTACAAACTGTGAAAAGTAAAGCATCACAATAGACCCTACAATTTTTATTTTTTAAATCATATGAATATTAATATATATATATATATATATATATATATATATATATATATATATATATATATATATATATATATATATATATATATATATATATATATATTAATATTCATTTAATTTATATATGAATAATGTACATAAGTATTATAGAAATCCACTTAATTTTACTTTTTTTAATTTAATTTTTTCAAAGAAATACTAAAAACATACCAGAAAATGTTTAAAAAGAAACGACTTTTATTTTTATTTCCAAACCAACTGTTATTCATAGTTTATTAATTTTTAGACTAGCTTTCATTAAAATTTCAATTGAAATTGTTTATGATCAGCAGTTATATTAAACATATTTATAAAATCCAAAAGTTAATATACATTAAAATTGGTAAGAAAAGCAGTAAATAAAGCAAATAATAGGTATGAAGGATGGATGTCACCATGATTAGTAACAGAGAAATAGCAAGAAGATTAAAAATTTAAGAAAATTGTATACAAAATACTAAGAAGTAATTTATAATGATACGGAGTATCCAAAGCCATGTTGGATTTTAACCTAGTAGGTTAAAGAAATCTACTAAGCACAAAAACTTATACATTTTCAAGTAAGATACAATCTAAGGTTAAGTTATTTTAAACTTACCAACACATACAGTGAAAACTGTCAGAAACCTCTTACTTCAAATACAGCTAGAAACATTTTATATTTGTTTATGCAGCTGATAGAAAATACATTCTGAAGCCAGAGATGTTAATCAATAGAGATCAACTCAAAAGATAAAGGTTGTATTAGAAGAAAATAGTTTTTCAAAAAGTGGAAGCAAGAAATTTTTAATGATGAAAATTTGAATTAATAAATAGAAAAAGTAAACTTCTTGTTAAAAAATCTAAATCTGGAAAACGATGTAATAGCTTAGTTGCATCAAGGTTTTAAAGTCACAGTGGAATTGTTAGCATTTGAAGCTACTATAATTTTATGGCTGTAAACGTGTGTAATTTCATATAAACCAAATTAAATAGCACACCATACAGAGACATTAGAGAAGTGTATGGTCAGTAGAAATGCTGATTGATTAAAAGGAGTGGGTGGCAGTTTTAACAGAATATAGTACCTGCCTACACAGCTTGTACAGTCAAAGCATAGATGAAAGAAAACAAAGTAGATTTATTGCTCTGGCTTTCTCAATCACCAGACTTGAATCAAATTTTCTTGGGCTTGGATAGATAAAAGACTAGTCAAGGTCTGTATAAAGTTCAAAAAATCCTAAGAAAAAGAATTAAACCATTCAGAAAAGAGTTCCAATCTAAGTTTGCAACCTTGATATATAAATGTAAAGAAATGTGTGGCTGTCATTTATAGAAATACTTTGTAGAAATTTGGGCTATTTAAAAGAATTAATTTCTACCATTAAAGGACTATGCAATCCTGTGTACAATAACAGCATGTTACTCACTCAAACCAGTGTAATATTTTGCATAGTCTCTTGTCAACATAAGTTAAGATTGAAAAATTTCAAATGTTATGTAATAATTCTCCTACTTTATTATTTTGCATTATTGCAAAATGCCATAGGCACAAACTGCTTTCATTATTATTATTATTTTTATTATTATTGTTATTATTATTATTATTATTGTTGTTATTATTATTATTGTTATTAATATTGTTATTATTGTTATTTTTATTATTATAATTGTTACTTTAATCATTATTATTATTATTAATATTATTATTATAACATTTTTAAATGGATATGTTTATTATAAATAAATATTAAATTGTTTATTGAAAATTAAATGTATACAAATTATTATGTTTTACAACATATAATGCAATATTTGTGCCATGCGCACGAATTTCACACTCTGCATGGAGTTCTTCATCACTCAGCTGAGTTATTCACTCTTAATATATATATATATATATATATATATATATATATATATATATATATATATATATATATATATATATATATATATATATATATATATATATATATATATATATATATATATATATATACATATATATATACATACATATATATTTTTTACACGGTGTAACAGGCTTTGCCCACTTAGATTTTACAAGTTTTATTTATTTTTTGTAAATTCAAAAATCACATTTATTTTAACATAACATCTATAGTTTTTTATTTACTCTTAATTTCATGTTTTGTTGATATAAGTGCAAGTTTTTTTCAAGTCAGTATGATGTATCTATTGTATAAATATTATAAGGATAATTACATAGCATATAACACTTTTTACAAACTGAAACATATTTAGGAAGTATCATATTAGTAAAAACAAAAAGAAATTCTTTACTATAAATGTTTTAAAACTATTTTAAATTATGTTATGGTACAATTTTTTACTATTAACTCTTCCTCAATATTCAAAGTGCTTAGATGATTCCATTTTTTTGAAGGCATACATTTATTTTTTCTGATGAGAGATCATATGAAAGCTTCCATCATAGCAGTATCCTGTATTCCTAAATATCTAATTTCTAAATTGCAATGCCCTGATGAATTCTCAGTGTTTCTCACTGACATCTTCCGTGTTTTCAGCGGAGAAATCTAGATATGAATGCAACATATAATCTATATCTATAGTTAACCTTTATGGCCATAAAACAATCCAGTTTCTAAAAATTATGAATAACCTTTGCAATCAGTTACTTGTAACTAGAGTCTTGAAAGGCTGTATTTCTGTGGAACAGTTGCTATAGACGATGGTATGTCTGGATATTGAAGAACTTGTTTCCCTTGAGTTTTTTTGTATTTCAAACATCAACTATACAAAAACAGCAGATATCATGATGAACAGCAGATATCATGGCACATAACACGAGGGCCTATGGTTTGTTCTAAAATATAGTACCTTTTATAAACTTATGTAATATCTTTTTGCCAATATAGAATCCACATACATAGCAAATCATATTAATAGAATTAGTCATTATGAGAAAGTTTATTAACCTCCTCTATTAGCTATTATAAGAAAAAAACTTACCAAGTCAACAACTACATATATTATGTGTATGATATTTTATATAAAAAATTTTTTTTTAGTTTTTAGCTCAAACTTTAAATGCGTATTTGATAAGAGGCATTCAAAATGTTTTTTATCCATTTTATAAAAGAATTAACAACATAGAATTACATTTTATGAAAGATTTTATAACACGGAATCAGGGAATCATATAAATAAAGTACCAATTAATAAAATATTTTTCTGTCTACGATAATAATATCATGGATGTTATTGATTACAAGACAGGTATTTTGTAAACCTTTACATTTTATTCCTCAAGCATTTTATTCCTCAAGCCTAGACTGCAATAGAAGCACACTAACAACTTCCCATGAAATGTTTTGTGAGGCACTAACAATAAATGGGTGCTCAATTGCCGGGTGGCACTGAAAATATTATAACTTAAAACAATAATACAATAAAAATTTTTAATAATACAATAAAAATTTTTATGTTTTTTGAATTAAAAGAGAAAAATAATTAATAAACAAACAAAAAAATTTATAATTGCAAAAGTTTGTAACATGTAATTATCTTTAAAAATAAAATTATATTAAATTTTAATAACCTCCAACAAAATTATTGATATTTGACTTTATAATCTCAATGTAACTGTCGCGATCACAACGTTGTTGTTCATGCAAAAAACCCATTGCATGAAGCATTTCATGCAGAATTGTCCCTAAAAAGAAATCCATTATTTATTTATGTAATGATGACCATTTGATGTAAATTTAAAAATAAGTAGTGTAATTATAATTTTATATGATTTAACTAAAATTTTTAAAATCAAAATATTATAATAATTACCATTAACTATCATAATTACAAGTATTTTTAATAAAATTTGGTAATAAATTTTAAACAAAAATTTATTTAAAAACAATTAAATTATGAATAAGAATATTTATAATAATTTTCAATAACAATTATTATTAAGAATATTTATAAATGTTCTATGATTCAACAATTAAAAACGATAGTATTATTAGTTAAGTTAGAATTAAAAATCTTAAAATTAGAACACTTCAATGGTCACACACGAGCAGTGAAAAACATTAGAACATTTTATACTGCAGAACAAAGTTAAGATTAAAATTTATAGTTACAGTTTTTTTTTTCCCATAAAAACGGCAACTAAATATGGATTTCAAATGAATTAATTTGCTTCTACTCTTACATTCTTTGAGAGTTTATTTTCAAGCAATGTTTTCTACATTTCTTCATGAAATTGTAACATTTACAAACAAAATGGCAATTTTAGCATAGATGAGCAAGAATATTCAAAGCAAAATGTGACTTTTTTGCATATTCTTTGCCTAATTTTTATTTGTGTAAATAAAATACACCTAAGAGATGCTTAAATGATGAAATTAACGGACTTTGATGCGCAAATTAATGGCAGATAAAAGTATGTGCATTATTAAAGATGATGAAACATATTGCAAGGTGAATTTTTTACAACCTCCTGATCAACAACTTTACTGTGAGAACAACAATATACCTATCAATGATCAATTTAAAATATTTGTTAAGAAAAGTTTACATCCAAGTTCCTTGTGTGGCAAGCAATTTGTAACTGTGGTATGCAGTCCTCTTGTTTTGTCACCAAGAAGACCTTGACTGCCCATCTCTACAACAAAGATTGTTGTAGAGATTGGGAAAATAGGTAAAGTTGTCAGAGACAAGATGCAAATCAAGGATTAAAAGTAAGTAATTATCATTTTATGGAAATGAGTCACAAAGTTAAATATCTGAAGGCTTAGGTGCCAGCAGGGACAGTGATACTATAGCCAGGCCATTCAATATTTGGCTGAGGAGTAAAAAGAAACGAGATTGTTAAAAAAATCTAAAAGAGTGCAACTTTGAGAAAAAGAAGAATAAATAGAAAATTATTATTACTATTTTTATTATCATTATTATTAGAATAAAAAGCAAATAGAAAGGTGATAGAATATAGAGGTATCTTTGGAGAATGTAATAAAATTAGACTTATTTTATTAGAGACAGAATATTTGACTAACTTTGGTTGAAAATTTTAGAAGAATTTAGGCTTTAGATGCTTTTTAAAAAGCATCTAAAGCCTAAATTCTGCAATACAATATAAGATTTAATAAACTGGGAATAATGGAGCTTATCATTTGACAACACCTTTTAAATTTATTACTTGCAACAATAAAAAGGCATTTGTGAGTAGTTTTTTGTGAAAAAAATGAACAATACGATTTCAATTAGATATAGCAGAAGAAGGTGAAAATCATGGAGTAGAATGAGGCTTACCACAAAAAAAATGAAACAAAAACTTCCATGTCTGCATGGATCTATAAAATTATATAGAAGGAACATTTATTTTTGAAGAGATGAAAGATATCAACATTTTTGGAACTTAGTATTGATGAATTCAAGTTAGCCTTGCAGTGAACTTTGTGAGAGGTAAGATTTACTGAAGTAAAAGTTACATCAAAGACAACAAATATTTAAAAAAAATTAAATTGAAACTACTAGATGGTAAAGATTTTTTTGATTAATATTTTCAAATACTTTAAGCATGTTTCAAATTATTCAATTAAAACATGTTTCAAATTACTCAATTAAAGATTATGCTAGGCATCCTAAGCAATGAGCTATGCAGTTGCCTTGGTTCGAATAATTTACTAAAGTTGTAACCAAGGGCTCTTTATTTCACCTCAACAATAGGGATTCTTACCAGAAAAAATAATAATCTAAACTCCCATAGTCATGGGAAATTTTTTCCGGGATCTTGGGATTTTCAAACATACATTTTCTAACTTTCCTGCCAAAATCTAAAGTGTTTTGTTTTCCGGACCATAAAAAATAATGTTTATTTATAGTTTTTACGTATTGAAATTTATGACAGCAAATTAGAAATTAAAAAAAAATGCCTTTAAATCCAAAAACTTCTGATGTTTAGAGTTATTTTGATTCTAAAAATTCAAACGAGGCACAATGTAAACATTGTCCAAAGGTATTATTATGCAAAGGCGGTTTGATTGTTGGATTGAAAAGACATTTAGAAAAAATCCACAACATAATTTTAAATAAAGAAGACGAAACATCAAATAAAAAACGTTGTGTTCAACTAACAATCGATTCTATGACAAAAAAAAGTTTCATTAGGTAAGCGATTGGCTCGTTTTGCTGCTACTGATGGGTCTACTATAAGGACAATAACTAAATCGGATCAAATTTGTGAGTTTTTTTGTGATAAAGGGTACACTCTACCAAAATCAAAAACAGATGTCACGAATCTTGCTGTAAGTTTAGTATAGATTTGGATGAATGTTCAAAACATGGCAGGAGATTTATGAATATAAATCTTCACTTTAAAAAAGGGTTTATTAATCTTGGATTGCAGAGAATGTTAGGATCATACAACTCAAACGATTGCCTTAAACTACTCATAAAAAAATTAGACATGTTTAACATAAGTCTTTTAACGAATGTAGTCTGCATTAAAACTGATGGTGCTAGTGTTATGGAAAAACTAGGAATTATTTCTCCTTCCGAATATCAACTTTGTTTTGCACATGCAATACATTTAGCTGTAGTTGATGTAATTTATAAATATAAAGTTAAAAGTAATAATCAGAGAACTAAGAGTACAGAGGACAAAGATATTGAAGATTATGGTTTTGATGATGATGATGATGATGATGATGATGATGATGATGATGATGATGATGATGATAATGATGTTGGTGATAATGAGGAGGAGAAGGAAAAAAATGATGCTAGTCCTGAGCTTCATAAGGTTATGGCTAAAGTTCAAAAAATTGTTGTAACTTTTAAAAGATCTCCTTTGAAAATGGATTCTTTAGAACGTCATTCTAAAAATGAATTTAGACGAGAGCTACTGCTAATTTTGGATTCAAAAACTCGTTGGAACTCAACGAGTTCTGTCAACGAGACTGTTGTCCATGATTCAAAGATTCATTAAAGTTAAAAAAGCAGTTTTTAAATCTCTGGTTGATTTTAGTTTAAAAAATATAATGTTATCTGATGATATAGTTACAGTAATTCAAAATTTGTTGAAATGCCTAGAACCTATTGTCTCTGAAATGATTTGTAGAAGGAAAGCAACATTATTAACAGCTGACGACACATTAAAATTTATGGTTAAAGAACTTGATGTTCAAGATTACTACCAAGCAAAGGATCTTAAAAATACTTTAATTGAAAGAATACGTCAAAGAAGAAAAAACGATCTTGTTGGTTTATTAAGATTTTTAGATAATCCACTATCTCTAAAAAATGATATGGATGGTGACTTATTTTGCATCCCGTCTAAAACAGTTATGATTAATTTAGCTATTGAAATATCTGGTCGACTTTTTCCAATAATTGAAAATATAGCGAAAGAAATAGACGGCGGTAGCAAAGTTAATAATAGTGTTAATATAAATCAGGCATCCGAATCTATGGCTGCTAGATTAAAAAAAATTGTAAAAAAAAGGATGACTTTGAAGTTAAGTGTAATAAACCAACTATGCGTCAAGAATTTAACTTGTTTGAAGGAACAAATAAAAGATTGCATAGTTTAGATATGCTTTATAATGCGCTTTTAACTATTCGTCCATCCAGTGTTGAGGCCGAAAGGGTGTTTAATTCAACTGGATTTTTATTTACAAATTTTAGAACTAGATTAATAGACAGTCATCTTAATGCACTGGTGTTTCTAAGAAGTCGCTTTAAATTCAAAAATAGTTAAAAAAATAAAAATAAAAATAGAAAAGTGTTGTATTATTTGATTTTCCTTAAAAAAAAGTTTTCCCAAGATTTTCCCAGAATTCCGGGAATACTTAATATATTTCCTGGGAATATTTAATATAGTTTTTTTTAACAAATGTGCAATCATTGTAACTATAAGAAATAAATATTTTTAATAACTACTACTTGGATTTTCTTTTATATTAGGCTGTGTTTAATTCACCACCTCAAAACAACTGCTTTGATAAAACATTTTGAAAACTACCTTCATAACAGAAGCTATGATGTCTTCAACATTTTTTTCTAAAATTCATCATAAAATAATGTTATTCAATAACACCAACAACATCAGCTGCACCAAGAACACCAACTGATTAACTGCGACATGAGCCAAAATAGGTAAATTTATTTTCAATTTTTATAAATGATGTTTTTTGACAATGATAAATATTTCAATAATTTTTTCATCTTGATTTATTGTATGATAAATATTTACATTTTGTAAAATACTTTTTTTTTATGTTTAAAAAAAAAAGCATAATAACAACCATTAGAAGTTGTTGTTTTAAAGCAATATCAGTATTATTAGTGGAGCGTCTTTTTTTTTTTAAGTTACAAACGAAATAATAGCTATTAAAATTCCATTTATTCAAAGTTTATAAAAATAATCTGTCACTCAATATAAATCAAAATATAATTTATTTTAATTTTATTTTTAACTATAAGTTAGGTTTGAAAATAAATTGTTAAAAAAGCATGCATTTTGTTTCTATATTATACAACATCACAATTTTGATCAATATTTCAAAAGTTCTGCTGTGGTGTTTATGTTTCTTTAGTTAAAATAATATTTTATTGTCAGTTAAGCATTTGTTAAAATTTCCAGTTGCATTTAATAATTTTTATAATAATCTACATTATCAATTAATTAGAAAGCATATACTAAGTACTTCATCTGTAAAAGTGGTTGAAAATTAATTTTTCAGTATACGTACTTGATGTATGTGTCCTTATATGTTTAAATAAACTTTAATTTGATAAAAAATTATCAAAATAAACTTTATTTAAATAATTTATTTTATGTCATTAATTAGAAGGATCGTATTTTTAACAAAAATAAATATTTTACAATATTCTTTTATTTTTATAGTTTCACCTTTATTATCTCAAGACGTTAGAGTTACCTTTCATGTTTAAATTCAAATATAATGAATGATGCCAAACATGTCTAATTTCATTTTTTTTTTCATTACTTTAGTTCTGCCTTGGTTCTACCATTTATTGTAAGTTTATTTTGTCTACTGGTCAATTATGTTTGTTTTTTTTATTTTAGTGAAGCCCACAACATGGATGACGAAATGGGTGTGGACTCAAATTTATGGCAAAGCTCCCTTTGCTTTTAATAGGGAGAGTGGCTCCTGTAGAAAGTGAAATATTAGGAGAGAGAGAGAGAGAGTGACGGGAAAACAATATGCTTCATCAATTATTAGTATTTTTTAGTTTGTTAATCTACCAATAGTTAATTGATGATGTAGATGTAGTTTTTTGTAAGTAAATTTTTTCATTATTCATTTGTTTGGATTTTTTATATAATAATTGTTGATAATAAAAAGTAGTTTTTTTTTGAATTTTTTGTTTAAAAAATGTTTTTTTGTTTTGTTCTTTTTTATCAATAAGAACTTGTATTACATAGTTTGTACATATATATTTTTTGACCCAAATAACAATTTGTTATTTGGGTCAGGTCAGGTTTATCCTGCTACTGGTAACATGTAACCCAGTACAATCTGCTTCATGTCCTACTGCCTTGTAGGATATGCCTTTTTAGGCAAAGGCTAGGAGATGCAAACTCCGACATAAAACACCCCCTGCCTTGGGGCTCACATCATCGTAATGTTGCTTCTCTTCCTCTTTTCTACATATACTATAATGGGCACTGCTCTAAAGAGCTATTGTCTCTTGTGGCATCTACTAAAATTCATTCTCGTGTTACTCATCATTTAATTAAGTCTCATCCTTTTTCTGTTACTGTTCCTAATTGCTCCAAAAACTCTTATTCGTCTAGTTTTTTCCCTCGAACATCAGTTCTTTGGAATTCGCTTCCTTCATCTTGCTTTCATGATTCATATAATTTGCAATCTTTAAAGTCGTCTGTCAATCGTTATCTTGCTTTACAATCTTCATTTTTTCTCTTCCAGTAACTTCCAACACTTACTAGTGGTTGCTTGCAGCCTTGTTGGAAGCGAAGATGTTAAAAAAAAAAAAAAAAAAAAAAAAATTTTAATAGTTAATGTTTTTTTTTTTTTTGCAAATTGCAAATAATTATATAAATAAATATACTTTAATCCTGCATTTTATTATTTTGGTAAAAGTAAAATAATTATAGAAAGGGGTAGTGTGGAACTTCACCATTCAAGATCCATATGTTACAGATTCAGAGAACTAGTATATATTATTATTTGTTCATTAACTATTTTATCCCAAGTTTTTGTTATTATTAAATAAAATGAATCATTTTAATCAAAGCAAAAAAAAACCTTCAATTTTTTATATATAAAAAAAACATTATCACCTTTAGTATTACACCCATACCCTATGGCGATTTGCTGTTTCATTCTTCCCTGTTTCCCAACATATGCACTCCAGCAACTAAAAAAAAACAATGATAAAAAAATATTCAAATAATAATTTTTGCTATTAATAAAAAAAAAAAAAAACAGGATTTTTTATTTAATCTAATTCTTAAGGAAACTGTTGGGAATTACCAGGAAACAAAGAATATTGTTAAGTAGAAAAAAAAATTGACAGAATCAATAAATTGAAGTAAATTGTATCATCAGTAAAATATTGTTTGCAGTAAAGTTTTGTTGCAGTTAAAATTTAAAGACCATTGCAAACGTCAAGCTGTTACAGAAGAGGTATCATATTCGAAATCAGCTGATTGTTCTAAATGATCAAAAAGCAATGACTTTTTTCTGTAGACAGGAGTATACAGTTGTGTCATAAGCAAATAGATCCATTTTTATGTGAAATTCGATTGTAAAGAAAATCATTACTATTTGTAAAAATAATACAGGACTTAGAAGAGAACCATGTTTTAATCCGGAAGTTATCAAAAAAGATGAAAGCGTTGACCCTTATGGAAACTTTAATACTGTGATTAGAAAAGAATACTTAATAAACTCAAAAACTTTCCCAGCTCCACAATTTAAAACAACATTATGGAAAAGTTTTTCCCTCTTTAGATATGAGATAGATAGCAGAAAGAGTTGCAGGACCGCTAACATGAAGGCAAAAGCAAAATGAGTAAAGTCAAGAAGACCAAGCAGAGCAAGAAAACTATGTAACACAGCTTTATACCTACAGATGAAGTAAAGATGCCACATAATTTTTCTAATTACCCCTAAATTTTTTGTCAGGGAGACTTTCTACTGAGAAAGCCTTTTAGGCAAAGATTTTAAAGGTAAACAAAAAAAAGCTATTTATCAAGACACTATCACCAGCCTTTACTTAACCAAGAGCCTCATAAAAAGGATTGTTAAAGTTACTCCTAGCTTTTGCTCAGAAAAAAAAATCTTACAGGGCAGCAGGACATGGGATAGGTTGTACTTAACTACATGTGACCTATAACAGTGTAATCATAATATTCTTAAACCTGACCTGAATTGTGTAATATTGATTACACATTGATTGTGTTATAGCTATATTTATAAAATCACAAATAATAAAAAGTTTTAAAGTTTTATGGCATAAATTTAAGCTATTGAAGCAATCCATTCCCACATGCTTCCGCTATTTATATTTTTTTTACACCTTTTTAAAAAATTTACAGATTGGTATTAAGAAAATGTGAGATAAAAAGCAGTTTTGAATTTTTTTCCATACTTTAATCTTTATAATGCTTAGGTTTTATCCAATCTTTTCAATATTGAAAAACTTTGCTGGACTTCAATTTACGCAAGTTTTTTCTAATTTTGACTTTTTTCAGATGGTAGATATTGCTTCTTTTAGTTATTTGTCTGTCATCTCAAAAAATATTCAATAAATTTGTAGATAAATTTTTAATCTCATTATGCTTTTAAATAAAACAAGATTTTAAAACAACTTTAAAACATACTTAACACATTACACTATATGTGTAACAAGAAATACAAAATCTTATGAAAGGTCGAAAACCTTGTTTGAAGTAAAAGATAAAAAAAATTGTGCAACAGTTTAATTCATAAAAACTTACCCATCATTCAATGTGGTTATAAACTCAATATATCCGCTTTTATCACTATCTTCTTTTTCAACCCATACATCATGACCACAGGGAGACATATATTCATTCATTGCACGAACAGATTGCTTAATTATAGTAGTATAATCTGAAAAATTAAATAACTTTATTAAATCAAATTCTCCGTGAAGTCAGTCTTAACTTGATGTATTGAAAATATACTTCGCTAGTCAATACATCATACAAAATTAGCCAGTGTTGGTTCAATACATTGTAAATATAATATAAAGTTATTTTAAAATTTGAAAAAACATTAACAAGAATTTTTTCAAGGACAACATTTTAAAAATTGAAATTAATTAGTTATTTTATATTGTATGAAACGCAGTCAAAAATATGAAGAAAATATTACTTTAATTGAAACTATTTTTTTAAATAATAAGTTTTGAAATAATAAGATTGCGAAAAAAAAAACTTTGAGGTTTAAGATGTACTATGTAAGATAACTACAACCTGTTTTGTTTCTTACATTACATATACATACTTTTGATGTTAGGAATTATAATTTCTTTTTTTTTGCCATCAATATATATGAAATGACCATAAATATATTTTTTTATGAAATTGTTCACGTAATCATTAACTTTTTGTGTTTTATTAATTGTATATTATATTATAAATTTGTTTTTTCTTTATTTTGCACAAATTTCTTTTGTCTTTTAAAGATCAAAAAATTTTATGTAAGGTATCTTTTACAAATTTTTATATAGATATATGTAGTCATTTTAGGAAAACTTGTGTAACTTTACATGTTGTGTAATTAGTTACATTTTAGGAAAACTTGTGTAACTTTACATGTTGTGTAATTAGTTACATTTTAGGAAAACTTGTGTAACTTTATATGTTGTGTAATTAGTTACATTTTAGGAAAACTTGTGTAACTTTACATGTTGTGTAATTAGTTACATTTTAGGAAAACTTGCGTAACTTTACATGTTGTGTAATTAGTTACATTTTTAAAAAATATAAAATGACTAGTTTTTTTTAATCTTTTGTTGATTTTCAGATAATACAAAATGTTTTCAATTTCATTATCTAGATTTTTCTTGTACTATATTTTTATTGAAAATAATGGTGCTTTACAAACTTGGGTGTGGTTAGATTTTGGTTATTTGTAATGAATTCTTTTTTACTGCAGTATCGAACAAACACAAATTACAAAGCATAAGTAACATTTATCTTACAATATAAACTAGCTATTGTTGATGAGCTTCTTCAAAACGCTGGTCATAGTAAATGCAAGTTTGAAGAGAAGTTTTCCTAAAACTCTACAGCTTGTTTTTTTGTTTTTTATTTTATGTTTTTTCATTTGGCAACTATTTGAATATATACTTTAGTTTTGATAAGTTATACTTGTAATATACTTTTCTTCAATTATTTAGATTGTTTCAAGCTATACATTAATAAACAAATCAAATTAGTTTTAGAGTTGTTTATATATTATTTATTTATTAGTTGTTTATATATAATTTATATATCAATTAACTACCAAAAGAGATTTAAGACGCTTTTGTCTCTTAGATTTTATTCTGTATTTTACATTTTGATATGTGATTTTTCTTTAATTGTAAATTGAATTTTCTCACACAAAAAAACATTTTAAATAATGTTGCAAATATATCTAATAAAAAACCTCACTTGTTGTAGTATTATCAGGTCCTATGTTTATAACATATGGAACTCGTGGTTTTCCATTACTGTCTTTCCATAAAGTTACAAACTTTGAAAAACTTCGCCTGTTATCTTAAAAAGTTTTTAACAATCATTCCCAATGATCATGAAGACATAGAATGTAAAGACTTCAAAAATATTTTGTTTACATAATAAGGAAATGAAACAATAATAAAAAAATACTCTAAAGAAATCACTGACAATTACGAGTTATCAAAAACAAAAAAATTACCATTAAAAAGGAAATTGATATAAAATATACCAAAAAAATGTAAAACTATAACTTACCAGGTGGAAACTTAATATCACTGAATCTTCCTGTTTAAAGTCATTAAAGTATTTATAAGTAGACAATAAAATCCAAGCAAAAAACAATTTAAGTCTCACAAGTATTTTATATTATTATAGTTTAAAATAAAAATATTATTTGTTTTTGATTATTTAAACTTGCATGATGTTATTTAGTATAAAACTATACAAAAAACAAAAACAATCTTATCTAGAAAAAATTTCACCATGTGCAATGTTGATTTCCTCAATGGTTTTTGCTGGTTCTGAAATACATATAAATGTTAAACTGGATTGGAGGCAATACAAATTTCTATAGATTTTTTTGTAGTCTATTACAATATAAAAATGCGTAACAAATATTTCTAAAGTTCTAAAGTTCTATAACTGTGATCATTTTAAAGTAAGTTAAAATAAAATATTCAATAAAATTGGTAAGCAAAATAAAATAATAACATTTTGTTTTTTTATGACTGTATTAATAAATTGTTTATGTTTTGTTTAAAGAAAACAATGGTTTGAAAAAAATGTTTTAGTTTTAAACTGATTTAAATTAATTTTAGGAAAAAACAAAAAAATATAAAAAAGTAAAAAAAATATGCACAAATAATTGGAAAATCATTGAAGCTAGAATATAATAACAAATGAGTTAAAAATCACTAAACTGATATGTTTTGTGTTTCTCAATGTTTTTCTTAAACCAAAATAATCAAACATAAATTTAAAAAATAAGTTTTAACAGGTTGGAAAACTTGTTTTAAGATTAAAGCACACCTCTTATTTTTAAAAAGTTCTCAAAGATACAGATTTTCGTATAGATTTAATATTGTAGACAATGAAACTTACATCAAGCAATTAATATTGTAGACAATGAAACTTACATCAAGTAATTAATATTGTAGACAATGAAACTTACATCAAGTGATTAATAATGTAGACAATGAAACTTACATCAAGTCCTTGGGGCTGTTTGTTATATTTCCAAATATACAGAAAATACTAAAAACTTATATACACAAAACAAACAAGTTGTTAAAAAAACTTGGATTTGTCAACCAAATGTGTCATTCAAAGTTGTGGCAAAATAATCAAAAAAAAAATAGAGATTTTTTTTTTATTTCTTAATTTTTTTCAGCTGGCTATTTCATATTCATTAACCACAAGTTATAATGATCAAAATATCTGTTAAAAATTGTATAAGTAAAACCAATGGGGCTTGATTCACTAATTTTTTACTTTATTTTTGTGAACAGGAGCTATGTGATATCTACTAGAAATAGATTAATAAACAATATCTTTACAAAAATACTTTGACTGATTAATAAATAATCTTGTTTTTTTAAAGTAGTTTGATTTTTAATTAACATTATTTTAGTTATAGCAGCAAGTTTTTTTTACTTTAGAATCAAATGATTTAATTCAAACATGCTAAAATGTAATAAATATATAACAAATAATGCAAAAATATTAGTTTAAATAGCTTATATATTTTAAAATGAAGTTGTTTGTATTTTTATTTTTTAATTTTTTTGTATTTTAAACACAGTATTATATTTGATGAAGTAAATGTAGAGTGGGATATTAAGGGATGCTTAAGAAAGACATGCTTATTATTGATAAAAGAATCATATGTTTGAAAATAAACATGATTGGTATAAGAAAAAGAAAAAAATTTATAACTGTAATAATCAAAGTAAAAAAAACTTCAAATTTTTTTATACTTTTTACTTTCAGGTGGCAGAAAACAGAGCAATTACTTTGTTAAATAAAAGTTACTAATTAGTTGCAAATTTTTAAAAATAAAAAAAAATACAGTTTATTATTTAAACATGCTTGAATTTAAAAGTAAAGCCTTTTTGGATTTATTTCATCAAATATAATCAAATATTTAATGTATAATTGCAACAATGTTGTTATTGTCCAACCATTATCAGAGTATTCACCAGTAGTTCCATTTGCGCCTCAAAAGTAAAAATGGGATTATATATAAACCAGCTACACTGATTGCTGTAAGAAATGTAGCTTCGATTCCTTATTTTTGGTTTGTAACCATTAAATTACCTTATAATTTGTAATATTTCTCAACCTAAGTCTTTTCAAAAAGAGAGAGATAGATAATGCTTTAAAAAACTTTAAAGTCCTTTCCAACAAGTTAAAAAGATGTTGAACTTCATTTCTTTGACAATATTTGTATACTCTAACATGTACTTTGTTTATTGATAATCTATAAAACGACTTAGATTGACTTTATTCAAGATAAAAGATTTAACTTCTGTTCACAAAACTTGTTAGAAAAAACTTTATTACAAAAGTGTGATAAGTATTTAAAAATTATATTTGGTATATAATATAATAATATTTTCTTTATAATATAGTTCTTTTTTACTAACAGCTGAAATTAAATTTTTCACTGAGCTTTCTTCATATTTGGATTCAAAATTGGTCTTTCTTATATAATTTTTTACCATTCTTTGCATTAAATTATTAAATTATTAAACTATATTTCTATTAATAATTAAAGTAAATTTACAAAATTAACAAAATTTTCGAACTTATTATTAACTATGATTTTTAAACAAAGAAAATAAAATTTTAGAATAAAAATAAAACAATATCAGTTTAAACAGCTTCATATAATAGTAGAACTATTTATATAAGTTGTTGCAGGCTAGACACTAAAATTTTAAAGGTGTGTGAAAAAATTAATTAATTTTTAACTATTTTTTATTTAATAAATTCGAAAATGAACTTATATAACTTAAATATACATTTAAAAAAGGTTTATAAGGATTTTATCTTAAATATACTTTTTGAGCTTTAATGCAAAAAATTTTTAATCACATATCTTCTATATTTAAAATAGCAGCAGCTTTTTTTTTAACTTAGTGTTAACTTTTATTAACTTATCACTTTAAAAGAGATTTTTCAGAACTATTATTGGTTACGTGAGAAGAGTTTTTAATACAAAAAATACATTTGCATAGATTTCATACAACTCATAATCATTGTTGCTAAAAATGATTTCTACTGCATAGAAATTTTTTAAGGCATTTCCAGGATCCAAATTTTTAATAAAATAAGAAGAATGAAGCGTTAATTCAAAATTTAATTTCTTTCTAGAAATACCTTTATTTCCATGATTAGTTAGTTTAGTTTCCAAAGCAAATGCAATAAGATTTTTAAATCTTTATTGTTATCTGAGCTTTTTAATATCAAATCAAAAAATAAAAGCTTAAATTCCAGCATTAATAGCATTTAATCTGTCTCCTATTCAAATTGTAGCACATTCAAATACTTTATTAAAAAGCTTTTATTTATGTGTTGTGGCAATTTTTATATTTTAAAGCAGCCATTATGAAACATTTGTGCATGAAAAAATCTCTGACTTAAAACTCAAATCTTTGCACCATAGACTGAATACCAACCAGCAGTCTTTGACTTTTTATTATTTAAAGAGATGAGACAATTTGTATGGTACATCTTAGAGCATGTTTAAAAGTATTTTCCCATGAAAATATGAACAATACTCTGAATGTGTTACCAAAATTAGGTTAGTAAATGGCGCAAAAAGTTTGAGACTACTCTATTAATGCTAATTTGTAATTGCAGCAGGTCAAAGTAATCTTTGATGATTGGTATGAGTTTGGTGTTGTTAGCATAAAGTTTCCAATGATAGCTAAATAGATAAGACATATCATTAACAACAGTGCTTCAATACATGAACCCTGAGGACCATTAAGGACATTTAGCTTATTCATTTCTTAATTTCAAAAAAGATTAATTTATTGTGTTTCATTAATGAAAAAAAAAATGCTAGAAGGATCAAAATGAACTAAAGTTACCAAAATTTTTTTTCATTTGATACTTCTAAAATGATTTTTTTTTTCAATTAATGAAACACAATAAGTTAAACTATTTTATCAGAAAAATAAAAAAAATTCAGCTGAGGTACTAAGCTTCAAGCATAACTTCCCTGTAAAGCCCTACTGTCCCAAAATGCCCTGCTCTACCCTATATAAATAGGTTTTTTATTTAAAAAACAATTTTTTTAAAAGTCTATTGTGACAGTTTTATTGAATTATGCATGCTTATTTAATATGCAGTTTTAGTATAAACAGATTTCAATTCTTAACTAGTCTCTACTGTTGTTTTATAAAAAAAATGTTTTATATATACATATACATATAAGGTATACATATGTATACCTTAAAAACAAACTCTAGTATACATTGTTAGGCAAGGTAAAGTGGGGTAACATTGACACATCTTTAGCAAACATTTTATTTTTTTAAACCTGTGACAAGCTAAACATGGTATGCAATTATTCTATGTGCTTACCTATGATATTGCTGCCATAAACTGATGAAGAATTTAATTAGTTATTTAATACTATTGATAGATAGCTAATTTTGTTTTTAAGGTTCTACTGTCAATGTTAGCCTTATATGAGGTAACATTGACAGTAGAATGTTTTACGTGTAAATATTTAAGTTACATCGTGAGAGGTTATATTATCATTAGAATTTTGACAAACAAAATAGAGGAAACATTTTTAATATGCATTTGCATAGCAAATATATATTATATAAATATATGAAATTTTTGTAGCAACCTATATTTTCAATTTAATAAAAAATCAGTATTAAAAAGTTGTATAATTGAAATTAAAATGCAATTTTTATTATTTTTATGTATAATTTATATTTAAAATTTTTTTCTCTAAAAATTGTCATACTATTAAGTTCTACACCACACTAATTTTAATATTTAATTACAACGAAATCCTGCAGCACTGTAATTTTTTCTGTGATTATTTTATTACAAATTTTTTAGTGTTTAGTTTAATTTAAGAAACAACAAGAAAATTTTTTCACATCTTCAGGTTTTGATGTTTTGTTCTAATCAATATTATCCAATATTGTAAGGTGTGGATTATAACTTTTTTCAAGTGATGGTTTTTAGATCTGTTGACATTTGATGTGTTAGTGCATTTTTATTTTAGAATTACTCTTTAAATTTAGAGTTGGTTTTGCTTAATTCCATTTAATAATATTGCAAAAGATACATCAGATATAAGACATTCCACCAACTTTTGCTTGATTTTTGACCCATAGGGTGACTAAAGCATTCCTGTTAATCTTACCCCAAAACTGAAATATGTGTTTAAAATAAAAATATGCTACAAAAAATCTAAAATACTTAGTATTTGAAAATTACATCATAAAAACACATATAAAATGATATTATAGTATGGTTTTACTTTTCTTTAGAGTATAGTTTTTCATTAATGAAAAAACAAGAAACTAGTAAATTTATGCCCTCTGTATTGCGTTGTTGTTTATACTTAATGTTATGTGGATAAAAAAAAGTTATATTTGTTCATTTAACATCTTGCTACAACCTCTGTTAAAATAGTTGAATCAATAATCAAAGAGTGACTGGTAAAAACATTTAATCTAATACATGTCAATGTTGCCTTTATGTCGAAATAACCCCATGTTACCTCATACTATAATTAAACTTAACAACTAAAAAGTAAACAAAAACAAAAATTTAAAACATTTAAATCATTCAATAACAATACAAAAATTGTCTGTTTATTTGGTTTCGTTGTTTATGTTTAATATTTGCCTGTTTATGTTTACTATTTGCCCGTCCTAGAATCCTTTGAGTTACCAATTTACAACTTTAATGCAAATTTTGTCAAGCCAAACACCATTGAGTAAAAGTATTACAACATAAACAACAAAAATATAAAAGATATCTTTAAACAAATGTTAGAAAAAAAAAAAAAAAAATTAAGTGATATATTCAATAAGGTTTAATGAAACATTTTAAGTAATAAAATTTACCAAATGGCTCATCGATTATAGTGGCAATATCAAGTTGTTTTTTATCAACCATAATATTTTCTGCAACTTGTACGTTTTCTAAATTAAACCAAATATAAAAAAATTAAAACAAAAATATATTTACATGTGTACTTTGGTACATGTGCAAAACTTGTACTAA